AATATGCGTGTTGACACACGGAGGCGTGAGACACAATATACGTGTTGACGTACGGAGGAGTGAGTGAGTGAGTGAGTATGGTTTTACGCCGCTTTTAGCAATATTCCAGCAATATCACGGCGGGGGCCACCAGAAATGGGCTCCACACATTGTACCCATGTCGGGAATCGAACCCGGGTCTTCGGCATGACGAGCGAACGCTTTAACCACTAGGCTACCCGACCGCCCCTGACGTACGGAGGAGTGAGACACAATATGCGTGTTGTCGTACGGAGGCGTGAGACACAATATGCGTGTTGTCGTATTGAGGCGTGAGACGCAATATACGTGTTGACGTACGGATGAGTGAGACACAATATACGTGTTGTCGTCCGGAGGCGTGAGACACAATATGCATGTTGACGTACGGAGGAGTGAGACCCAATATACGTGTTGACATATGGAAGAGTGAGATACAATATACGTGTTGACGTACGGAGGAGTGAGACAATATACGTGTTGACGCACTGAGTTGTGAGGCGCATAGAGACGTGTTGACGTACGTAGGAGTGAGACACAATATACGTGTTTATCATATAATGGGTAGGTTTCTCAGCAGGATAAAGCCAACGGATAAAAACGATATCCGTTGGGGTCATATGCGGATAGAGATGCAAATATCAGAGGTCAAGTAGGGACTACTTTCACTGTTTATTAACAAACATGGCGTCGCCCTCGTCATTCGGCGATCGAGTCAGAATTAACCATCGGGAATCTGGATAAACTACAGAGATAAATGCTTTAATTATCAAAAGAACAGTCTAATATACTGAAAATCAGTGTCTTACTGTGACGTAGCTAAGGCATTTTATAAGTTTGGGCAACTTTGGAGATATAAATTTCGACACAATTTTGCGAGGGCACGAGGCCTAGCCAAACGGGATCAGTAGCCATATCTGTGCTTGTAGACCTCTGCGGCTTGAACCTTTCTCCACAAATTTAAATAGTTGGATTTGGCCGAAATATGTTTGAATTGTTACCTTGGTTCGTTTTGTCGCTGTGTGTACATCTGACCACACTTCTTAACGTTATGACAGGACAGACCGACTGTCAACAACGTCTAACCGTGGCCGTGACGTCTCATAGACTAGGGTTAGAGTAGCTTCCCTTTGACAAAGGGCAGTTTCTCTAGCAGACAGACAGATCGATTGCCGCGAAAGGCAATTAAAAACAATTGTTGTTTTGCATATATGTTGCTTCGTCACTGTATAAGAAACAGATTTCAGTTGGAACTATATTGGCTACTGTCACTGTCCGACTGACACATCACTTACCCTGTGACGTAATAAATATTAATGCGCGCATTCCAGGAAAACTCGTAATGTTTCGGTAATGTTTTTGAGAGAGGGAAAGCGATTTTGAAGCACAGAATTAAAGAATGACATTATATGATAAAGAGGTTATCACGCTTGTGTGTTTGGGGATGGTAAATATCCTGTATTAGGAATAAACAATATCCCCAAACACACTCGCGTGATAACCTCTATTGACGCACTGAGTTGTGAGGCACATAGAGACGTGTTGACGTACTGAGGAGTGAGGCACATAGAGACGTGTTGACGTACTGAGGAGTGAGACACATAGAGACGTGTTGCCGTACTGAGGAGTGAGGCACATAGAGATGTGTTGACGTACTGAGGAGTGAGACACATAGAGACGTGTTGACGTACTGAGGAGTGAGACACATAAAGACGTGTTGACGTACTGAGTGATAAGACACATAGACACGTGTTGACGCACTGAGGAGTGAGGCACATAGAGACGTGTTGACGTACTGAGGAGTGAGACACATAGAGATGTGTTGACGTACTGAGTGATAAGACACATAGAGACGTGTTGACGTACCGAGGAGTGAGACACATAGAGACGTGTTGGCGTACTGAGGAGTGAGACACATAGAGATGTATTGACGTACTAAGGCGTGAGACACATAGAGAAGTGTTGACGTACTGAGTGATAAGACACAGAGACGTGTTGACGTACTGACGTACTGAGGAGTGAGGCACATAGAGACGTGTTGACGTACTGGGGAGTGAGACACATAGAGACGTGATTACGTACTGAGTGATAAGACACATAGAGACGTGTTGATGTACTGAGGAGTGAGACACATAGAGATGTGTTGACGTTCTGAGGAGTGAGACACATGGAGACGTGTTGACGTACTAAGGCGTTAGACACATGGAGATGTGTTGATGTACTGAGGAGTGAGACACATAGAGACGTGTTGACGTACTGAGGAGTGAGGCACATAGAGATGTGTTGATGTACTGGGGAGTGAGAAACATAGAGACGTGTTGACGTACTGAGGAGTGAGACACATAGAGATGTGTTGATGTACTGAGGAGTGAGAAACATAGAGATGTGTTGACGTTCTGAGGAGTGAGACACATAGAGACGTGTTGATGTACTGATGAGTGAGGCACATAGAGATGTGTTGACGTTCTGAGGAGTGAGGCACATAGAGACGTGTTGACGTACTGAGGAGTGAGGCACATAGAGACGTGTTGATGTACTGAGGAGTGAGACACATAGAGATGTGTTGACGTACTGAGGAGTGAGACACATAGATACGTGTTGATGAACTGAGGAGTGAGACACATAGATACGTGTTGATGAACTGAGGAGTGAGACACATAGAGATGTGTTGACGTTCTGAGGAGTGAGGCACATAGAGACGTGTTGATGTACTGAGGAGTGAGGCACATAGAGATGTATTGACGTTCTGAGGAGTGAGGCACATAGAGACGTGTTGCCGTACTGAGGAGTGAGACACATAGAGACGTGTTGACATACTGAGGAGTGAGGCACATAGAGACGTGTTGACATACTGAGGAGTGAGGCACATAGAGACGTGTTGCCGTACTGAGGAGTGAGACACATAGAGATGTGTTGACATACTGAGGAGTGAGGCACATAGAGACGTGTTGACGTACTGAGGAGTGAGACACATAGAGACGTGTTGCCGTACTGAGGAGTGAGGCACATAGAGACGTGTTGCCGTACTGAGGAGTGAGACACATAGAGATGTGTTGACATACTGAGGAGTGAGGCACATAGAGACGTGTTGACATACTGAGGAGTGAGACACATAGAGACGTGTTGACGTACTGAGGAGTGAGACACATAGAGATGTGTTTACGTTCTGAGGAGTGAGACACATGGAGACGTGTTGACGTACTAAGGAGTGAGACACATAGAGACGTGTTGACATACTGAGGAGTGAGAAACATAGAGATGTGTTGACATACTGAGGGGTGAGACACATAGAGACGTGTTGCCGTACTAAGGAGTGAGACACATAGAGACGTGTTGACGTACTGAGGAGTGAGACACATAGAGATGTGTTGACGTACTGAGGAGTGAGACACATAGAGACGTGTTGACGTACTGAGGAGTGAGACACATAGAGACGTGTTGACGTACTGAGGGGTGAGACACATAGAGATGTGTTTACGTTCTGAGGAGTGAGACACATAGAGACGTGTTGACATACTGAGGAGTGAGGCACATAGAGATGTGTTGACGTTCTGAGGAGTGAGACACATAGAGACGTGTTGCCGTACTGAGGAGTGAGACACATAGAGACGTGTTGACGTACTGAGGGGTGAGGCACATAGAGACGTGTTGCCGTACTGAGGAGTGAGACACATAGAGATGTGTTGACGTACTGAGGAGTGAGACACATAGAGACGTGTTGACGTACTGAGGGGTGAGACACATAGAGACGTGTTGACATACTGAGGAGTGAGGCACATAGAGACGTGTTGCCGTACTGAGGAGTGAGACACATAGAGATGTGTTGACATACTGAGGAGTGAGACACATAGAGATGTGTTGACATACTGAGGAGTGAGACACATGGAGACGTGTTGACGTACTGAGGAGTGAGACACATAGAGATGTGTTGACGTACTGAGGAGTGAGACACATGGAGACGTGTTGACATACTGAGGAGTGAGACACATAGAGACGTGTTGACGTACTGAGGGGTGAGACACATAGAGATGTGTTGACGTACTGAGGAGTGAGACACATGGAGACGTGTTGACATACTGAGGAGTGAGACACATAGAGACGTGTTGACGTACTGAGGGGTGAGACACATAGAGATGTGTTTACGTTCTGAGGAGTGAGACACATAGAGATGTGTTGACGTACTGAGGAGTGAGGCACACAGAGAGGTGTTGACGTACTGAGGAGTGAGACACATAGAGTCGTGTTGACATACTGAGGAGTATTTGCAGCCTACAGCACTCGTTCTCTGCTTGTATAAAACGCCAGTGGGAATCTGCTGCTCGTGTAAATATTTATCTGACAGCTGTTTTTTTTATCATTTGGATCTTTCACTTCTTTAACCAAACTCATTTCGCAGCTAAGGAGATTATAGCCAATGTACGTACAATTGTTTACAGCAAACCCCTCTTCTACTGATAGCGCTGTCGAGAAAGCACAGTGATGCTTTTCTTTGCAGATTCGAATGTTCCACATACACCGGACAAAAATATGCGAATTAACTACTGTTAGTCACAATACGCTACCTATTCCAGGTCTCTATTGGTGAATAGTTAGGGTTGAACGGCCGCAATTTCATGACACACAATTGTCTTGGAAGAGTTACCTGAACAGAGGTGTTCGGAGATAGACGGGAGAGTCATGTGATGTGAGGTGGTGAGGTGAAATGGGGTTTAACGTCGCGGCCAAGATTATTGCACTAATATCGTGACGTACATGCGCGTGCGTGCGTGCGTGCCTGCGTGCGCGCCTGCGTGCGCTTGTACTTGTACTCGTCCGGACTGATGCCGATTTATTGTGCTTGCCCACTGACATACCATGCCGCAGTTTAACCTGAATACACCACTCAGTATGCTGACTCCGAGCCGACCAGTCCTTGTTTTAGCCCCTTCATGCCGAGCGCCAGACAGGGTAACAACAAGTACCATCTTTCAACGTCTGTCGTTATGACGCGGCAGGGGATCGAACCCCGAACCTTCCGCTCTCCGGGCGGACGCTCTACCACTAGACCACGAAGGCGGTCGGAGAGGCATGTTTATAGAAAGACGGGAGCGTCATATACAGTGATTGATGCTTATTCCTCCGAGACTGAAGCGTGTTCGTCCTAGATCGAAGTGTGTTCATCCTGGCTTTAAGTGTGTTCGTCATAGATTGAAGCGTGTTCGTCCTACATTGAAGTGTGTTCATCCAAGATTGACGCGTGTTCATTCTGGATTGAATTGTGTTCGTTCTAGACTGAAGTGTTCGTCCAAGATTGAGGCGTGCTCGTCCTATTTCACAGAGTGCGTGTACATGCTAATGAGGAATATATGAAAGCGTAGAAGCTGCCCCAGCTTTTGGGATGTTGGAACTAATGTACAGTGACTTGATGACAGCAGTGGAACGAGATGTTGCCGCAAGTGTACTAAACCCTCCCTTTGTAGATAAACCCGAGTCCGGGTTCAGCCCCGCGTCATCCACTCTCAGCGCTCAATGCACAGTGAGCAACACAGAACGGCCTTAAAAAATCAAATTACTCACCATGCAAATGAGAATTGCACATGAGAATTTGGTGTTAAAGAATGTTCCCTATATTATATTTTGTTACACATTCGTATTTCCTTCGAAGTGTGGTAGGCTCTGTTAAGAGAGTTATCTATAAGAATTTTATTTCATACTGATACCATTTAAATTCAATCATAACTCATGGTAAAAGTAAACATTTAAGAGTACAAGCACCAGGCAATGAAATCAAAGAACAATTACAACACAGGAATAATGTTAATTTATTTTAGACAACGCACCCTGGCCTGAACGCCGACAACAGGCGATCTCCCGTACCCCGCAGCTTTGGGAGGCAGGGGGCGCACACGGTAGTAGGAGGGGAGTGAGTTTCAGGGCTGCGAGAGAGGTGATAGGGTGTCATGAGTAGACTGAGCCGATGCTACAGAGCTAGAGATGAAGGAGCTGGATACACACTGACGGCGATCCTAGGAACCTGCGTGTGTCACCCCTCTTCTCTCTGCTGATGTAGACGTGCACATCTTGGATGATGTTCCTGTCAGTGTTGTAGATAGATACCTCAGTAGACAGGTGAGTTGACGATGTGTTTGTGCTGGCGGCAGTGTACAGTCCCCAGGCGGCAGATGTGAAGTGCGTCTGTGGTAGTTGAGCACGGCGTGCACTGCGTGGTCAATGAGCAGAGGACAGACACAGTTGATGAAGATGTTGTAATCTGTGATGTTCATGTTCCAGGAGGACCAGCCAGGACAGGAGGACATGGCGTTCTGTATGATGCTGATGAGGAAGAAGGTCCATTTTTTCCCTGTTTTCACCTGGATCTTCATCATCGTTTCCTTCTTCATATGGTCAGTATTACGTCACGTGAGGTTCACGTTCCCGTCAGCTGCATTATAAAGTCTATATATACCGTTTCCTTCTTCATATGGTCAGTATTACGTCACGTGAGGCTCACGTCCCCGTCAGCTGCACTATATAGTCTATATATATCGTTTACGAAAGATGCAGGCAAATATCTTGAATTGGCACACATATCCTGAATATTCGGTTAATATAATGCCCCTCTAGCATGTCGGACAAGGACACAAGTACGAACTGTGGGACTATGAAGAATCTGGTAGTGAACAGGCTTAACGTGAACATAGTACATGGGAGTTCAATGCTGGGGAAATTAGACGTTTCTGACCTCTCGTTACAACAGACACAAGGTATATCTGCTATGATGTACTCTAAAGGTGAGATAGCCTTACCTAGGTAGTAAGTAAAGTTACCTTAACCCAAATGAGCTTACACCATATGCACATCGTTCATGTTTCATTACTGGAAGCGCTCGACCGGTATGCCGAAACATTGCATAGATAAGACAAATCAAGACTAAAGTGATAGGCAATAAATATATGTATATATTAAGTCATTTCATAATGCTTGGTCGTGTTCTTCCTCTTTGTAAACTTTCATCTTCATTGAACAAGTGCACCCGTTGACATATCTACAGCTCCGTGTTACTCGCCCAATGAAGCTGAAACTTTGCCCGGATACAGATTGCAGATTAGCGCCACGAGATGGCGGTCGGGTTATGCGTAGGCCAAATGTTAAAACTATCACTTTGGACAATTACAAGTTATTGTTTCTGTCTCTTGTCTGTATTGATTATTGGGTCATTGACCACATATTGATGAACGACTGCTGGTCAAACAGTTTCACTCGACATTATTAATTCTTAGGAATGATTAAGAAGATAATGAAAGCATCACGCTGACGGATGTGCTTGTCTTTTTTCTATCATTGTACCTAGGTTCCCTGTTAATCTACAATGCCATTATTACATTCAACGATCTAGTGAGAAATCTCACTTGAAGTTATTTTCTTTGCTATGTATGTGTGGTTTTCTTCACCAATCGTGCTTACACACAAAACATGAAAGCCTGTCCTACCCTGTTAAAAGATAGCAGAATGACAGGCTTCAAAGATTGCTTCTTGATGAACCACGCGTATTTAGCCCCCTAAGATTTTTTTATAAACCACCCAAGAAGAACACAGATAGCTATAAACAAGATGAGTTAACATGGTAATTGTATTGCCATTCCCAGTTCCTCCAGCGGGTTGGTTAAGCTATAGAATAACTTCCATTTGGAAGAATAAAGAGCCATGTAATAACCGCCATGTGTGTTTATGTTACAGCTGTAACCGACCGTTATTTGGTTATGTTCAGTAATGACAGAAGTCTTCTGGTTGATTGCTACGTTTATTATATCTGGTTCCAGAACAGATAAGTTGAGATATTAAGTTTCCCGAGTACCCCTCTTGTCAATGCCTTATGTTGCGGCACTAGTCTGTACGTCTTATCTTTCTAAAGGAATCTGTATACAGCTGATCCTTTTAGTACAATTAGTTAAATATATATGTTAATTGTAACAGTGTATATGCTGAGTGTATACATATATATGTATACCGCCAAAGGTATCGCGAACCATAGAAACATATAGAGAGGTAGCTACGTTAAGATGAGATGTTTCCATTGTGTACAAGAACAGTCGAGTGTTACCACAGTGTCTTAATTCCCATCACGATATGCTACACGTGATTTCCAATCTTTCCTTTAAGATATATATATATATATATATATATATATTAACATTAACATGCAATAAGTGTTAATCGAGGTAGCTGATGCCATGAGACTTAGTCTGTGGATTAAACGATTATTTGTAAATAAAATGCTCTGAATTGAATACCTTTGAGTACCCGCCAGGCATGAGAATGTTACAGCCATGGAATAACCGTCAAATGTGTGTATGTCCTAGCTATACTAGAATAGTTGTAGAATAACCGCTATGTGTATTGTGTTACAGTTATACATTACGTGCATTGTGCAGTGTGTGACGGTTGTAGAATAACCGCTATGTGTATTGTGTTACAGTTATACATTACGTGCATTGTGCAGTGTGTGACGGTTGTAGAATAACCGCTATGTGTATTGTGTTACAGTTATACATTACGTGCATTGTGCAGTGTGTGACGGTTGTAGAACAACCGCTATGTGTATTGTGTTACAGTTATACATTACGTGCATTGTTCAGTGTGTGACGGTTGTAGAATAACCGCTATGTGTATTGTGTTACAGTTATACATTACGTGCATTGTTCAGTGTGTGACGGTTGTAGAATAACCGCTATGTGTATTGTGTTACAGTTATACATTACGTGCATTGTTCAGTGTGTGACGGTTGTAGAATAACCGCTATGTGTATTGGGTTACAGTTATACATTACGTGCATTGTTCAGTGTGTGACGGTTGTAGAATAACCGCTATGTGTATTGTGTTACAGTTATACATTACGTGCATTGTTCAGTGTGTGACGGTTGTAGAATAACCGCTATGTGTATTGTGTTACAGTTATACATTACGTGCATTGTGCAGTGTGTGACGGTTGTAGAATAACCGCTATGTGTATTGTGTTACAGTTATACATTACGTGCATTGTTCAGTGTGTGACGGTTGTAGAATAACCGCTATGTGTATTGTGTTACAGTTATACATTACGTGCATTGTTCAGTGTGTGACGGTTGTAGAATAACCGCTATGTGTATTGTGTTACAGCTACGGTATAGCAGTTGCACATGGCCACGTGGAGCCAGATTTCCCCTACATCAGGTAAGCACAGTCTGCACGTGTACACACGCCGACATGAACATGCAGTAAGATATCTGATTGGTAGTGGGACATATTCCGAGGACTGTTAATGAGGCTGTAGCTGTGTTACAGTATTGTCATGATGTTGTGAACCTCATCTGTACACTCGTCCACGGTGTCCCATGTTCGTCCTAACAGCCCACATGGGGATGAGCGGATACAGTGTGACTTGTATCGGTGTTCATACTATCAGCCACTTGTACAGGTCTGCATGGCCCAGACTCCACTAGTGGCTGCAGCTGGAATATTGTTGAATGTGTCATTAAAGTGGTGGTCAGTGATAGTACACAGTGGTTGTCAGTGATAGTACACAATGGTTGTCAGTGATAGTACACAGTGGTTGCCAGTGATAGTACACAGTGGTTGCCAGTGATAGTACACCGTGGTTGTCAGTGACAGTACACAGTGGTTGTCAGTGAAAGTACACAGTGGTTGTCAGTGATAGTACACAGTGGTTGTCAGTGACAGTACACAGTGGTTGTCAGTGATAGTACACAGTGGTTGTCAGTGATAGTACACAGTGGTTGTCAGTGATAGTACACAGTGGTTGTCAGTGACAGTACACAGTGGTTGTCAGTGACAGTACACAGTGGTTGTCAGTGACAGTACACAGTGGTGGTCAGTGATAGTACACAGTGGTTGTCAGTGATAGTACACAGTAGTTGTCAGTGATAGTACACAGTGGTTGTCAGTGACAGTACACAGTGGTTGTCAGTGACAGTACACAGTGGTTGTCAGTGACAGTACACAGTGGTTGTCAGTGATAGTACACAGTGGTTGTCAGTGACAGTACACAGTGGTTGTCAGTGACAGTACACAGTGGTTGTCAGTGACAGTACACAGTGGTTGTCAGTGACAGTACACAGTGGTTGTCAGTGATAGTACACAGTGGTTGTCAGTGACAGTACACAGTGGTTGTCAGTGATAGTACACAGTGGTTGTCAGTGATAGTACACAGTGGTTGTCAGTGATAGTACACAGTGGTTGTCAGTGATAGTACACCGTGGTTGTCAGTGATAGTACACCGTGGTTGTCAGTGACAGTACACAGTGGTTGTCAGTGATAGTACACAGTGGTTGTAAGTGACAGTACACAGTGGTTGTCAGTGACAGCACACAGTGGTTGTCAGTGATAGTACACAGTGGTTGTCAGTGATAGTACACCGTGGTTGTCAGTGATAGTACACCGTGGTTGTCAGTGATAGTACACAGTGGTTGTCAGTGATAGTACACAGTGGTTGCCAGTGATAGTACATCGTGGTTGTCAGTGATAGTACACAGTGGTTGTCAGTGATAGTACACAGTGGTTGTCAGTGATAGTACACAATGGTTGTCAGTGATAGTACACAGTGGTTGTCAGTGATAGTACACAGTGGTTGTCAGTGATAGTACACAGTGGTTGTCAGTGACAGTACACAGTGGTTGTCAGTGATAGTACACAGTGGTTGTCAGTGATAGTACACAGTGGTTGTCAGTGATAGTACACAATGGTTGTCAGTGATAGTACACAGTGGTTGTCAGTGATAGTACACAGTGGTTGTCAGTGATAGTACACAGTGGTTGTCAGTGATAGTACACAGTGGTTGTAAGTGATAGTACACAGTGGTTGCCAGTGACAGCACACAGTGGTTGTCAGTGATAGTACACAGTGGTTGTCAGTGACAGCACACAGTGGTTGTCAGTGATAGTACACAGTGGTTGTCAGTGATAGTACACAGTGGTTGTCAGTGATAGTACACAGTGGTTGTAAGTGATAGTACACAGTGGTTGCCAGTGACAGCACACAGTGGTTGTCAGTGATAGTACACAGTGGTTGTCAGTGACAGCACACAGTGGTTGTCAGTGATAGTACACAGTGGTTGTAAGTGATAGTACACAGTGGTTGCCAGTGACAGCACACAGTGGTTGTAAGTGATAGTACACAGTGGTTGCCAGTGACAGCACACAGTGGTTGTCAGTGATAGTACACAGTGGTTGTCAGTGACAGCACACAGTGGTTGTCAGTGATAGTACACAGTGGTTGCCAGTGATAGTACACAGTGGTTGTCAGTGATAGTACACAGTGGTTGTCAGTGACAGTACACAGTGGTTGTCAGTGATAGTACACAGTGGTTGCCAGTGACAGCACACAGTGGTTGTCAGTGATAGTACACAGTGGTTGTCAGTGACAGCACACAGTGGTTGTCAGTGATAGTACACAGTGGTTGCCAGTGATAGTACACAGTGGTTGTCAGTGATAGTACACAGTGGTTGTCAGTGACAGTACACAGTGGTTGTCAGTGATAGTACACAGTGGTTGTCAGTGATAGTACACCCACACAGTGGTTGTCAGTGATAGTACACAGTGGTTGTCAGTGACAGTACACAGTGGTTGTCAGTGATAGTACACAGTGGTTGTCAGTGATAGTACACCCACACAGTGGTTGTCGTTGCAGCTACACCGCCATCCAGACGCCAGAGAGATGCTACTTCAGCCAGCTGATTAACTTCGGGGCCTGTCTGCGTGAGTACCTGAGTTCATGCTGGAACACATTGTCTGCATTGTATATACCTGCCTGCTTGCTCCGTTAACCTTTGGCGTAAAACTAATTAGCATCTCATCAACACACTTGCCACAAGACTCAGATACTAGTATATTGTTTTCCCTGGATGTTAGATGCTGGTCCGTGCACAGCCGTGCACAGCCGGGGCTCACCACATATTGTATACAGAGACGTCGGACTGAATTAGTTAGTCCGAGGGTTTGGTCCGCTTTAGCTCCTTTCTAATCGCATCGCATCGCATCGCATCGCATCGCATCTATCACTATGTGTAGGCTTAATAATTAAACGCAACTAGATTACGCGGCTCCAGTAGACTTCTAGCTGTCTGTGAGAGGACATGTTTTTCCCTAGACTAACATCTAGTCTCTGAAATGAATATATGTTACAGAAAAAACACATCGTTATCTTCTTGGTTCAAGATACGATGCAAGATACACAATATTTTATTGCATAAACGTTCCATGTAGAAACAGTTACAATATTCTATAAAATATATAAACAGATACACAATAAGTCAGGATAACAATACGAAGTATCAATAAAAAAATATTATGTTATGACCTAGGATTATATATAATAAGTAATTCAAATATATTTGAAGTTGTATGCATGATAGCAGACTTTTTCTATGTTACATCGTTCATTATTTGAAAAAGTAGACTTACTATTTCTGTGATTTTAAGGCTTTCAAAATATTTTTGGAAAGGAAAGAGAATTAAACATTGATACTGCAGTAATCTAGACTTGCCAAATAGCATAGACTTGCATGGGCTGTATTGGTATTATTTGCTTCAGGGTCTGTATGCCAGACTAGTGTTTCCCCATCATGCATCTTCAGGACTTGGGAAATTAATGTTGTCACTCCTGTAGTCTTACGAATCTCAAAGAAATTCAAGTAGTCTTTTGTATGGATTCTTTAAAAAGGGACAAAAAGACAATGTTACCATTACAATTTAGCGACGACTATTACTTAACACCTGACCCCTTGTGTTCGGCCCCACACTGCTACAAGATATCTAGGAGTTACGGAGGACACCCAAACGGTTCTGTTTGGTTATTACTGCTTATTACCACTTTATCTCCAGCTTCTGATTCCAGACGTGCCATGTCGAGTTGTGTAAGTAAACAAACATACTCGTGGGCAGACAGGGAAGTGAGACAGGTACTTGACCAGGACCCCTCCCTGCTACAACCTAGAGAGTCCCTGTGTGGGCCAGCAGTAGCCGACACCACCATCTGGTTAACGTCCACTAACTCGGTTCTCACAACACTGACTCAATAACAGGCAGGGATAGGCACGGCCACGAGTCGTTAGTCCGATAACATGGTGTCCCATGACATTTGGCTACTGTATCTTATATGTACAATTAGGCTACTGTGACTTCCCACAAACATCTATGTATAATTAGGCTACCGTGTCTCCCCACAGAACATCTATGTATAATTAGGCTACCGTGTCTTCCAAGAGAACATATATGTATAATTAGGCTACCGTGTCTTCCCACAGAACATCTATATTTACTAAGGCTACCGTGTCTTCCCACATAACATATATGTATAATTAGGCTACCGTGTCTTCCCACAGAACATATATGTATAATTAGGCTACCGTGTCTTCCCACAGAACATATATGTATAATTAGGCTACCGTGTCTTCCCACAGAACATATATGTATAATTAGGCTACCGTGTCTTTTCACAGAACATATATGTATAATTAGGCTACCGTGTCTTCCCACAGAACATATATGTATAATCAGGCTACCTTGTCTTCCCACAGAACATATATGTATAATTAGGCCACTGTGTCTTCACACAGAACATCTATATTTACTAAGGCTACCGTGTCTTCCCACAGAACATATATGTATAATTAGGCTACCGTGTCTTCCCACAGAACATATATGTATAATCAGGCTACCTTGTCTTCCCACAGAACATATGTGTATAATTAGGCCACTGTGTCTTCACACAGAACATCTATATTTACTAAGGCTACCGTGTCTTCCCACATAACATATATGTATAATTAGGCTACCGTGTCTTCCCACAGTACATATATGTATAATTAGCTACCGTGTCTTCCCACAGAACATATATGTATAATCAGGCTACCTTGTCTTCCCACAGAACATATATGTATAATTAGGCTACAGGGATCTCGGGTGCCTCATTTCGCTGACAAGGGTTTTATCCGTCTCTGTCATGATTCGAAAATAATGGGTTCTAATTCTAGATTTAGTATTTTGCTTTAGGGTGGGTCTTGGACAGTAGTTTTAAGACAGAGCACGTCACTGTTACACCCCAGGATATGACGCGCTTCCATGGATGCATGTGTTTATAGTGTGTACTGAGCTACTGAATCAACCATCCAGGTCATGCGTGTAGAACTGGCGTAGACTGACTTGCATGTCATACACAAGGGCTCTATTGTTGTACTTCATCACTTTGTTTTCAGTGGCCGGGAATGTATTCATTAGATACCTACAGATGAAGGAAGTCTTCAGCAAACACAACACCGCCGACCCCTCGCACCGCCGTCTCAACATAGCCTGTCTTGTAGTCGGCTTCCTGTCAGCACTGGGGTTCAGTATGGTGGCCAACTTCCAGGTGAGTCTACCCCACCCCTCCCCGGCTGACTGACCCCTGGCTGACCCAGCCTCTTGTGTCCCCACAACTGACCACAGGGCTGCTGGCGAGCAGATATCTACTTACATATACACCTCTACAGACAACATCACCTGACTTCCATCTCACCACCAAATCTCAGAAGGAACAAAAGCTTCCCTAAAGAAATAAAGATGCTGGAAATGGGGTCAATGAAGCCCCAAATGGTTTCGTTTTGCTGTACGTTTTACCTATTTCCCGCATCCCGGGATACTGTTGGTGTGCCCGGCTGGCGGGCCGCCCCCAGCGTCGTGTGGGGTGAGGGTGAGAAGTCTGCCAGGTGTGTGTGTGAGGGGCCGCGTCTCTGTACGGTCTCTGGGGGTAACGTTACAGACAATTACAGCCAGACTGAGACAGGTGGATAAGTCTTGACTGCAATACAGCTTACTGGTAGTCACCCCTCTAATCTGTAGTAGGCTCTGGCAATGTGTAGGTCATTGTCTATTTCATAGATTACATCTCTAATACGGCAATCTGCCAACCTGCCTTGTTAAAAGAGAAAACTATTTTTGCGTGCGTGCAGGCGTGCGTGCCACGGTGACCGTTTATCGTTTCACGGTGACCGTATATCGTTTCAATCATTTTGTATGAAAATAAATACTAATAAAGATTTATTACATTTACAATCCATATATTAACACAATATCGAACGATAACTGTGTAAATTACTTTTCGGCATTAAACGCATTATTATAAGGTCTGTACCATGACTGTCAAAACGCGGTCGGAATTCCAAATCTGTGGCACAGTTCTGAAACCAGGCGACGTCGTAAATGGCATGTCTGGCACTTCAAGTGCTACTAAGAGGAACGCGTACGTGGCAACACGTGCAGAATATCTGACATTTCCGACCACACACAACCCAATATATCTGCCCTCATCCCAGTCATCGACATACTCCCCTCCACACACACACACACACACACACACACACACACACACACACACACACACACACACACCTACACACACACACACACACACACACACACACACATCGGTATATGGTCTCGGGCAGAGTTGAAGTCACTGCCAGTGTGCGCAGTAACGCGTTGCGGCTGTTGAAAGCAATGGGTGATTTGTTGAAATAGAATCCCTTTTCTCAAAGGAACTAACATGACTGAAACATAATCTAAAAATAGTGTACATAATTGTCAACATAGAACCAAGGTGGTTTGGTTGTTCGGCAGTCAAATAATAAACGAGTCACTCCCCAGTAGTCTCCCTTTTCATACTGCTGTACCTTTCTCAATGAGCCTAACCAGACATTTAACAACGCTAGTAACGACCTCCAACAACGCGACAAAATTCAAAACAATTTAATTTTGATTTTAAACATGAACCTGTGGGGTCAACCTTTAGAATTAATTTGTCCACTGCTTCAAAACACTTTGTCACAAGTATTTCTGCCTTGTGTACAGATCGCTCAGAAAAACACCACCAGGATTTCAGTAATTATCATGAACTCCGTGGCCTAATGCTGGGTGAGATGTATCCCGCCCCATAGGTGTGTTTTGTCACCTCGTTCATATTGAGGATATATGATCTCCGATCGAAAGTCAGTGTAGATATGGCACTGAAGGTTTGTCGTGATGTAATTTAATACGTTCTCATACATTTTCAATTAATTACACATGATATCATAAGCCATTACATTAGATTGGCCCCCTGTCTTCACCATGAGGCAGGCAGTGTTGCTGTAAAATGAGTGAGCCGCCTTGTCCTATCTTCCTATCAACACATTCTCTCTTTAGCTGTATAGAGAAGCAGGGATGTTGTACAGGAGTGTATATACACACGCGGACTTTATAGCCGACTGCAAGTGGAAATAGCCTAACATATCATTCATCAATGTTATCTAACTTGCCAGACACAGAACTGGAGACCGTCTGTCTTCCTTATCCATCGTGTTTATGTCTTATCCCATCTGTGCTGAATTCGTTAAGTCAAGATTAAATAACGTCTTCTTTTGGACAAACGTCGAAATGTATATATTTTCTTATTTCCTTACAACTACCGTCCATGTTTGGTGTTATAATCAAACAAAATATGTTTCGGTTAGCCTTGTGTTTAATTTGTTCCACATAACTTCGTTAAAGTCCCGAGGAACGTATGTTCCCGACGTTAATGTTCCAGCGTGTATTGTGCTGCGGTGGTTGAATGTATGTAGCCAACAATGACGGTGAACCGCGAGACTGGAATTCTTGATGAAATGTTGGCTTGGTTGAGTTTCCCACATTACAAAATGCCACTCACGTGTAGAAAGGCTCTAGAGGGAGGCGTGAAGTGGAAATATCTTCGTTTTAGGTTAGGGGGGCAGTTTTGGAATAGCAGTGTAGGCTCAAAGATTAGAAACTGCATGGTGGGTGTTGCTGGGTTTATGTCAATGCCATGAACCTGTCTACAATAAGATATCCGTGTGGAGGGGTTGGGGGGTGGGGGTGTATAAGGTGCGGTTTGGGGGCTGTAAAGAGGTGTGTTTGTGGTCGGGTTGGGGTGGTAGGTTCAGGGACGTAGACAATACAGCAAAGGGGGTGGCTTCAGTCCACGCACGCTGCAGTATGTCCCGCGCTGGTCACACTCACCCTGGGGACTTCAGGTTAGAACTGATCTCCAGCAATCTAAGCTGGTTTGGTGATGTTCATGTCACATACCCCACAGGCGTGGATCGTTGCTCATAATATCAGTCCTGGATTGTCTGGTCGTGATTCGATTATATTACTCCGTCGTCATATATCCTGAATATTGAGTGCGGCGTTAAACAAGACATCATTCCTATTATCATTCAACAGATCAACCCCACCCTGATTAACAAGCACACTATCTCCAACCACATAGACAACATGATTATCTATCCCCAAAGCCAACGGGGTGTGCTCACTTTGCAGGCATATATTATCATTCAACAGACTTAAAACCAAATTATCTCGCCCTGGAAATTTAACTCTTATCTATGATGTGTCAGTCCAAGTAATAGATTCTATAACGAATGTATGTTGCAGACCCAGGTGATGCGGCCGCTACACTACACAGGGGCAGGATTGGCATTTGTCTTCGGGATGTGTTACTGCTGGATGTCGTCGGCGCTCACGTGGAAACAACGCATGAACATGAACAACACTTACGTGGCCGTCCTCCAGCTCATCAACAGCGTCGTTCTTACTGTCTTCCTTGTTGTCTGTATCCTTGGCCAGCGTGTCTCTCACAGGCCCCCGTTCCTACATCTACAGACAGATAGGTGTCGTGGAGCACATTTAGTTTCTACATACAGATAGGTGTCGTGGAGCACGTGCAGTTCCTACATCTACATACAGATAGGTGTCGTGGAGCACATGTAGTTCCTACATCTACATACAGATAGGTGTCGTGGGGCACGTGTAGTTCCTACATCTACATACAGATAGGTGTCGTGGGGCACGTGCAGTTCCTACATCTACATACAGATAGGTGTCGTGGAGCACATATAGTTCCTACATCTACATACAGATAGGTGTCGTGGTGCACATTCAGTTCCTACATCTACATACAGATAGGTGTCGTGGAGCACATGTAGTTCCTACATCTACATACAGATAGGTGTCGTGGGGCACATTCAGTTCCTACATCTACATACAGATACATGTAAGTGTCGTGGGGCACATGTAGTTCCTACATCTATATACAGATAGGTGTCGTGGGGCACATTCAGTTCCTACATCTACATACATATAGGTGTCGTGGTGCACATTCAGTTCCTACATCTACATACAGATAGGTGTCGTGGAGCACATGTAGTTCCTACATCTACATACAGATAGGTGTCGTGGGGCACATCCAGTTCCTACATCTACATACATATAGGTGTCGTGGGGCACATTCATTTCCTACATCGACATACATATAGGTGTCGTGGGGCACATGCAGTTCCTACATCTACATACAGATAGGTGTCGTGGGGCACATTCAGTTCCTACATCTACATACAGACAGGTGTCGTGGGGCACATTCAGTTCCTACATCTACATACATATAGGTGTCGTGGGGCACATTCAGTTCCTACATCTACATACAGATAGGTGTCGTGGGGCACATGCAGTTCCTACATCTACATACAGATAGGTGTCGTGGGGCACATTCAGTTCCTACATCTACATACAGATAGACGTCGTGGGGCACATTCAGTTCCTACATCTGCATACAGATAAGTGTCGTGGGGCACATGCAGTTCCTACATCTTCATACAGATAGGTGTCGTGGGGCACATGCAGTTCCTACATCTACATACAGATAGGTGTCGTGGGGCACGTGCAGTTCCTACATCTACATACAGATAGATGTCGTGGGGCACATATAGTTCCTACATCTACATACAGATAGGTGTCGTGGGGCACGTGCAGTTCCTACATCAACATACATATAGGTGTCGTGGGGCACATGCAGTTCCTACATCTACATACAGATAGGTGTCTTCGGGCACATGCAGTTCCTACATCTACATACAGATAGGTGTCTTCGGGCACGTGCAGTTCCTACATCTACATACAGATAGGGGTCGTGGGGCACGTGCAGTTCCTACATCTACATTCAGATAGGTGTCGTGGGGCACATATAGTTCCTACATCTACATACAGATAGGTGTCGTGGGGCACATATAGTTCCTACATCTACATACAGATAGGTGTCGTGGGACACGTGCAGTTCCTACATCTACATACAGATAGATGTCGTGGGGCACATATAGTTCCTACATCTACAGACAGATAGGTGTCGTGGGGCACGTGCAGTTCCTACATCAATAAACAGATAGGTGTCGTGGGGCACATTCAGTTCCTACATCTACATACAGATAGGTGTCGTGGAGCACATGTAGTTCCTACATCTACATACAGATAGGTGTCGTGGGACACGTGCAGTTCCTACATCTACATACAGATAGATGTCGTGGGGCACATTCAGTTCCTACATCTACATACAGACAGGTGTCGTGGGGCACATTCAGTTCCTACATCTACATACATATAGATGTCGTGGGGCACTTTCAGTTCCTACATCTATATACATATAGGTGTCGTGGGGCACATTCAGTTCCTACATCTACATACATATAGGTGTCGTGGGGCACATTCAGTTCCTACATCTACATACAGATAGGTGTCGTGGGGCACATTCAGTTCCTACATCTACATACAGATAGGTGTCGTGGGGCACATTCAGTTCCTACATCTACATACAGATAGGTGTCGTGGAGCACATTCAGTTCCTACATCTACATACAGATAGGTGTCGTGGGGCACATTCAGTTCCTACATCTACATACAGATAGGTGTCGTGGGGCACATCCAGTTCCTACATCTACATACAGATAGGTGTCGTGGGGCACATTCAGTTCCTACATCTACATACATATAGGTGTCGTGGGGCACATTCAGTTCCTACATCTACATACAGATAGGTGTCGTGGGGCACATTCAGTTCCTACATCTACATACAGACAGGTGTCGTGGGGCACATTCATTTCCTACATCTACATACATATAGGTGTCGTGGGGCACATTCAGTTCCTACATCTACATACATATAGGTGTCGTGGGGCACATTCAGTTCCTACATCTACATACATATAGGTGTCGTGGGGCACATTCAGTTCCTACATCTACATACAGATAGGTGTCGTGGGGCACATTCAGTTCCTACATCTACATACATATAGGTGTCGTGGGGCACATGCAGTTCCTACATCTACATACAGATAGGTGTCGTGGGGCACATTCAGTTCCTACATCTACATACAGATAGGCGTCGTGGGGCACATTCAGTTCCTACATCTGCATACAGATAAGTGTCGTGGGGCACGTGCGGTTCCTACATCTACATACAGATAGGTGTCGTGGGGCACATGCAGTTCTTACATCTACATACAGATAGGTGTCGTGGGGCACATGCAGTTCCTACATCTACATACAGATAGGTGTCGTGGGGCACATGCAGTTCCTACATCTACATACAGATAGGTGTCGTGGGACACGTGAAGTTCCTACATCTACATACAGATAGATGTCGTGGGGCACATATAGTTCCTACATCTACATACAGATAGGTGTCGTGGGACACGTGCAGTTCCTACATCTACATACAGATAGATGTCGTGGGGCACATATAGTTCCTACATCTATAGACAGATAGGTGTCGTGGGGCACGTGCAGTTCCTACATCAATATACAGATAGGTGTCGTGGGGCACATTCAGTTCCTACATCTACATACAGATAGGTGTCGTGGAGCACATGTAGTTCCTACATCTACATACAGATAGGTGTCGTGGGACACGTGCAGTTCCTACATCTACATACAGATAGATGTCGTGGGGCACATTCAGTTCCTACATCTACATACAGATAGATGTCGTGGGACACATTTAGTTCCTACATCTACATACAGATAGGTGTTGTGGGGCACGTGCAGTTCCTACATCTACATACAGATAGATGTCGTGGGGCACATGCAGTTCTTACATCTACATACAGATAGGTGTCGTGGGGCACGTGCAGTTCCTACATCTACATACATATAGGTGTCTTCGGGCACGTGCGGTTCCTACATCTACATACAGATAGGTGTCGTGGGGCACGTGCAGTTCCTACATCTACATACAGATAGTTGTCGTGGGGCACATATGGTTCCTACATCTACATACAGATAGGTGTCGTGGGACACGTGCAGTTCCTACATCTACATACAGATAGATGTCGTGGGGCACATATAGTTCCTACATCTACATACAGATAGGTGTCGTGGGACACGTGCAGTTCCTACATCTACATACAGATAGATGTCGTGGGGCACATATAGTTCCTACATCTACAGACAGATAGGTGTCGTGGGGCACGTGCAGTTCCTACATCAATATACAGATAGGTGTCGTGGGGCACATTCAGTTCCTACATCTACATACAGATAGGTGTCGTGGAGCACATGTAGTTCCTACATCTACATACAGATAGGTGTCGTGGGACACGTGCAGTTCCTACATCTACATACAGATAGATGTCGTGGGGCACATTCAGTTCCTACATCTACATACAGATAGATGTCGTGGGACACATTTAGTTCCTACATCTACATACAGATAGGTGTTGTGGGGCACGTGCAGTTCCTACATCTACATACAGATAGATGTCGTGGGGCACATGCAGTTCTTACATCTACATACAGATAGGTGTCGTGGGGCACGTGCAGTTCCTACATCTACATACATATAGGTGTCGTGGGGCACGTGCAGTTCCTACATCTACATACAGATAGGTGTCGTGGGGCACATGCAGTTCCTACATCTACATACGGATAGGTGTCGTGGGGCACGTGCAGTTCCTACATCTACATACAGATAGGTGTCGTGGGGCACGTGCAGTTCCTACATCTACATACAGATAGATGTCGTGGGGCACATTTAGTTTTCTCAGTACAGGGCGTGAGTGTATTTATCGTAATGGTCTTATGAAACGGGCGTCCGAATTTTTGTATTTCCTAAATGAAATGTCATAAAATCAGTAACATACACACGTGACTGTAATACTCTCTGTAATTATATCACTTTGTGATCACTGCGGTGAAGTGTGCGTGATGTGTATATTGACATACCGTGTCGTTAATTACACACAGCAGCAGCAAGGAAGTCTGTAACACATCAACAATGTATATCGAGCGACATTATTATCACACTTGTTCCCCCTCGATTCGTATTGACCCATGTATCTTGCACAATTTGTATAAACGTCTTTTCCTCCTTAACATGAAAACAGTTGGCGTATCAAAAGCGATTTATAAATACAAAGAAACCCATGGAATGGGAACAAAATGGGTAAGTAAGAATTGTGTATATTATTAGTATACGAGGGATTTCTGAAATGTTGTGAGCCTAACCACGAAAGATGTGTAGATGTGTCGGATTTTCACCCCTTCCCAAACTTGAAGAAAGAACTTTTTGGCATGCATTATGTAAATGAGGATGACGTCATTTCTGCTTTGGAGAACTATTTACACCATCAGGAGGAGGTCTTCTACGCCAGTGGGATCCAGGCACTCCAGAATCGTTGGCAGAAGTGTGTTGATCCCGATGGGGATTATGTTGAAAAACCATTAGCAACCAACTCAGTTATCATAGTTAGGCTCAGTTCTGCTAGCGCTGTATACTCAGGGTCAGGGTTCAGTTATGTAGTGTTAGCTAAGAATGCTATGGCAGGCATGAGACACAATCCGTGAGTGGTGGACCAAACCCTGTATTGTTGTCTTTCTGTCTGCAGGACACGTTGAAGACCGTGTACCTGCTGTCCACTATCACGGAATGGTTGACGGCAACTTTCATCGTCACCTTCGTCCTCACCTACTACCCCGACTTCAAGAAGATCAGGTTCTACGGGCCGAGGGTGAAGTTTAATACAGATGTTTATCCAGTAAGTCACATTTTCTACTTTTCATAGAGCAGTATTATCACATATGTGAAACATTATAAACTGACCAGGTTGTGTATGACGTTAAGTATGCAAGTTGCCTCGCATTCCTTTCGTAACGAGATCTTATTTAAACAAGGAAAACGTTCAGACTAAGTGCATTCTTTCAAGAGCAGCAACTAGAATTGCTAGGCCGTGTTATCTCCACGTATTTTCCTCGTGTGTAGTTCTAGCAACAAGTCCCGTCTGGTCCATCTTCCAGAGGCAAGGGAATATTTAACTGACTAAAAGTCCAGTTTCCACCCTTGCCGGCTGGAATTGCTGCGGTCGATTGTAGCGTCATCAGTGGTTATTATGAGTTATCTGGACTTAACTTCCAGCAGGTGCATGTTGAATTGAAAGTCTAATTGCACCAGACAAGCCCGGGTTGTACCCAGGTCCCATAAACTTATCAAAGTTAAAACATATAGGCCGTTCTTCCGATAATGTCCGGATTTCTGTGACACGTTACAGGAACATGTTCACATAAGCTCTATGTGTGCACAGTGGTATACCCACTTGCCTCTTGAAAATGGACCAGTTCCTAAAATCGAGCCATGATTTGTTGTAGCGATCTACGGCCAGTAACGGGGACGCTCATGTCAACGCCGATGGCCTACTAGGGAATAATGAGGACAGAGTTTGAGGACCAACTCCTGGGACACGAGGAAAGTGTGTGAGGGGATACGAGGACAACATTCAATGGCCCCCACATGGACAGCACGAGAACAGACCATGCCCCTTATACCAGACCAAAGAGATGATATTATTTATTTTCGGTTGTCTCATACACAATGAATTTCAACCAACACACACCAGGAGCCGAAGCTAAGGCCAAAAACATAAAGTGTATGTTTTATAGCGATTAGATGGTATACTGGGAGACTGGAGCAAGTCTAGCTGATATATCAGGAGACTTTTGAGCAAGTGGGAACACACGGTTAGCGTTTTTGTGTTCGTATATTTGGGTTTCGTGTGTGAAGATGTGTGAATGTGAGAGAGGTAGACATGTGGGAGGTGCAAGTAATACCTGTATGTATATATGGCATGTGTAGATGTAGAGTGCGACACGAGGGTGATGTATATACTAGAGGTGTCAGGACATTCCCAGAACCATATATATGAAAATAGACGAGACACTAAGCGAACATTGCATATTGTAAATGTAACTTTCTATTTATTTAAAACCAAACCCCTTGTAACAACACTTGTCCTTAACAGAATGCTGAATAGAACAACATTAGGAACCGACCATGTGATATTCTTGAAGGGATGGAAGGGGGGGGAGTACTTCAAGATTTTTACTGTAGGCCTTTGGAAAAAAAAGAAATTGCCTGTGACATTGTTGCAAGGAAGTTTCTCTGAAAAGAAAATTTAGGCTCATAGTTCGAAATAAAGCAAATATCTGGTTTTGGTATTGTGTTAAACACAAACTCATCATACTGAGATCGCATGTTGATATGCACCAATATTCTTTGATAGCACGATACGTCCAACACGTCTAGTATACACATACACCTTTCACAACAGTGAGATGTGTAGTATGTTCTCCCATGTGTGACAATATGACGCGGTTGTGTGGGAGTTGTATGTTTGACAAATATGTAAATACAATAATGACATGACATCCTCTATATTTTCCTGAACAACAGACATTTCTGAACTGTCACACTTAAATCGCCACAGGAGGTGGTGGTGGTAGTTTAAATACGGATGTGTGTCTATGCGATCAGGTACACTTGACTCCAATCTTAGGTGTAAAGCAGCATCCAGAGGGTGCTTCCATGGCGAGTCTCCACATAACGCATTTAGACAGGGATTGGCACCTGGACAGTTTATATATCCACACTCCGTGTCACTGTAATTGTTTCATTAGCCGACTTGCTGAGAACCGTTGAATGGGGAGGGCCACATATTTAGATATACAAACCCATCAGAAACGTGATTGCACATTATTTTTATAATACATCATCACATATGTAAGTGGCAGCTGTTGTGACAGGTGAATCTCTGGGAGCAAAGGTCAAGGTGCTGCCAGGTACATGAGCATCAGATGCTATGTTTAAAGTGCCATAGTTGAATGATCATGTGTTTTGTTAAAGCGGACATATTGAATGAAGAAAAGGCTGGACAGACGTAGTTGTACAGAAAGAGTAGATATGGCTTGACTGAAATTAATTTTCACAGTTCAGTATGCTAAAGGTAAAAGTAAAATTCTGTGATCATATACGTTTAGTGATGTGGAAATTAATGTTATTTAATGATATGTAATGTGTGGCTGTGTTGATGTGTACGCTAGAAACCTCATGGCCAGACACACGCGTAGCTTCCTTCACTACCTCGACTTTGTTGTAGATCTCTAATAGGCAAGGACATATAAGCAATAAGTTCACCTACCTTATGTAAAGAACACGAATCTTATGTTAAGAACACAAATATGTTTGGCAGATTTAAATTTAACATTGTAAAAGCAATTCTTTAAAATGGCTCAGGTTCCATTTTCAGCTCAGTAAGAATATTAACACTTCAAAGAAGAAGAGGAGATTTTAGCTTCTTACAAATCTCACAGTTTGATCAATGAGAACGTGGTCGCAGCTACTTTGAACGCTCTGGGTGTTTGTTGTGAAGGCAATGCCTGGCAGCCTGCCTAATGTATACATCTGTCAACCCACGTGACGGGCAGCATTTACACTAGACGTATCAATACAACCAATACATTTAAAATAGATACTACTGAAGGGCTGTGGGGACACACTAGCTATTACATATACAACTGATACGGAGCTAACGTCAGTGGGATCTATGCAACTCCCCACCTCGGTGCTATATCTGGCCTCTACTAGAGGCCTGTCCGGTTTAGTTACACAAGATTTCATATTTTGTTTAATTATGTGAATCTTCGCTGAAATATTTGGTGATATTTTATAACTTGGTTTACGGATCCGCTTACCCAAATGTTGTTAAATGTGAAGCCGTTTCAATAAATTGATTTATCCCATTTTAGTGAGAATTATCCACCAGTGGATCGAAAGAGCGATTGACTTGAGACATAACGTTTCTTGAATTTCTAGTTTATCTTGTCACCCAACGTTTTACGTCTATTCTTTTTGTCGGCCAATTATGATCCGTAATCCAAGTAATGAATAAGGCATTAGATAGGTATGACTTCCTTGGTGATGTCAGTGCCTGTGTGTAAGACGGAAAATAATGCTGAGTAAGAATAAGCATACCTTACTGTGTACAGTAGTCTCATTGTACTGGCATCGTTTTATATGAGATTTTTTCTGATGTCTATATTGACGTTGTTTACCCTTTATATGTTTGAATATATTCAACATGTCAGTCTCGAAATAAACATTTAAACTTCACGTGTGTCCTGTGGTCTCCATAATGAAGTGACAGGTGTACGCACGTGTGTACTGAGCTGTCCATAATGACCCGTCAGGTGCACGCACGTGTTCTGTGGTCTCCAATATGAATGTCGGGTGCACGCGTAATTGAAACTTTTTATCAAATTATTCAAGATAAATTAGAAAGCAGAATTATTCATCCAAATACATTTATTTTGCAACCATAAATATTTACAAAATACGTTCACAACATGGCATATTACAATGCGATAGATACCTCAGCGTGAGATACCCCAAGCACACTGACAATGTTATGATTGACATAGAAGAGGTACTTCTGTCTGAATGGGGTTATCATAAGCACAATATACGTTCAACATTTCCATCAACCATGGGCCTCCTGCACATATTTATCCAGGGCTGTACTTTACAGCCACACACTCTCTTACGAAACACATACACATCACAGGGGATCACCAGAAATATAAAAGTCGTACTTCTTTATATATACGTCTCTATGACATGTGTCTGTTGTTTGCCACGCGTAGTCATACAGACTGGAAATGTCTTTAGCTTGCTCTTTGACTGTCTGTCTTGATCTTTTCAACTCCGCTTTGCGCACAAACAACCTACACCCACTGTCTAGGACTCTCTCTAATTCATCCTGTATCTTCCTCCGACCAAACAACACTCGGAACCAGTTCTCGGGAGACACGTTGCCATTCAATACCTTGAACATGACCACGTGCCGCTTTGCATGAGGCCTTGGTTGAACTGAAACTTCGACAAAGGTATGTTTGTTGCCGGACTTCTTGAAGAGATTCAAACAACATTTCTTGAGACCAAGACCATGTCTAACATCTTTCCACGTTCCGCTTGTAGTATGATCTCGAGATGGGACGATTGCAAGTTGCCATGGTGACCAACGATAGTCATTGTAAATGAAATTAGTTTGAGGGACTTTCTCTCTTCGAAGTCTTTTCTTTTCAGTCTTCTCACGCTTTCTTGGCTGTGATCTTTTTACTGTACACCTTTTATTGATCTTTTTTACTTTCTTTGTTTTAGTTTTTGGCACCCCAATCACCGGTACAGTTGTACTAGCTGATGGCATCTTCTGTAGTGGGAGCGGTGATATCGGGTCCGGAAGTGGCCACATGAGTGCCCCTGGTCCTCCGAGACTGCTGGCCTTGGAATCATCTCTTCTCAATGTTCCAAACAGACCCTCGAGGTCCTTGTTCATGGACTGCTTTCCCTTCACAGCTCGGATTTCAGCCTCGTAACCCTGTAATATAATTAAAACACATATATGAAATAATCAACTCTGTGATAAAGTATTTACCCTGAGCAACATGATATATTCGATGAACATTATTGTGCAGTTACATGCAATGTAGAGACAAACATTTCAAATTGATGAGAGCTTTAAACGACAGTAGAGAAGGGGGTATATGCAGACATACCTGAAGGAAGTCTTCACCTCTCTCCCTATAACAGATTGCCATGATAAATGTGCAGATGTTGGCGAAGTTCTCCAACTTCAGATACTGCCCGCCTCCCTGATCGGACAAGGCTTGGAAGAAGGTCTCGGACGTCTCGTCCCCACCCACTTGCACGCCGTACACTCGGACACCCTGCAAACACAACCAACCATCTTATAGGTCTAGCCACACCCAGCATATGACACTCGTAGAGCAATACGGGCACAATTACCAACACACTAATGTATTGCCCACTCACCATGTTCGATAATTCCTGAACCTCATCTCTCCAGTCCAGGTTGAGGGTGTTCAGTGGATAGTCTGGTTCGTGGGGATAAGCGTCTCCAATCATGATGAGGACCTTCTGGGAGTCCCCTTTCCATGACAACCCGCGGACAAGTCGCAGAACCAGTTCATAGCATTCTTCTACATCACCCCCACCAGTCCCTCCAACCTCGTTGACGAAGTTGCACAGTTCCATGACGTTGTCTGTGAAGTCCACGTGTTTCGTGACGTAGAACATCTCCTCGTCGCAATAATCTCCGTGTGCCACTACACTGATGTTTATCCCCGGGATGTCGGCCTGCAGGCGCTGTATCATGTCCTGCAGGCGACCCCGCACCTCGTCCAGTATAGCGGACATGGAGCCAGTTGTGTCAAAGGAAAACACGATCTGAGTTGGGCCCCCGGGTGGGTAAAACGCCATTGTGTCGTTACTGGAAATTGAAAAACATGGTTATACATGAGGCGAGGGGTGCCAACAATAACAAATTTAAACATCAAGTTGTAATTTAGAATCAGGTTTAGGTGTGATTATGTTTCTTTTCGTGAAAATAGGATTCGTTTTATAATATACTACTGTATACATATTATATGTGTATAATTTCAAATCGTTTCTTCTTGGTGATCGTTCAAAGGAGTGAGTGAATGGTCCTTACGTCTGTTCATAGAAATGTCACCCTCAATTGTCGTGTGTTCGATTCCCAGATTTGCCCTCATTATAAATGGTTTGTCAACACCGTAAACATGCTATTGGTTTTCGCTACAGTGGTAGGCGTCACTTTTCCTTCCGGGAACATGAAATACGGCGTTAAATCCCGCACACTCCCTCCCTTAGAACTGTAACACCGAAGGTGTACTAGTTGTGTAAGGGAGAAAGTCAATTTACCTTGTGTCGGTAAAACTATTTTGACTAAAGGTGGGCGTGTCGTATGTAGCCTTTGATAATCAGCGTCTGTTCACCGCAGTGGTAGCTGTCGTCTGCTACCTGACTCAGCATTGCTAACGCTTTATATAGGACCTCAGAGCTTCGCGGAAAGAAACAAGTCCGTTCGCGTTATCAACTCGATTATAAAGTTGGTGTAAACTTCACACTTCGCTGACTAACTCAAATGAAATGAAAGAGATGTATCTTCAATGCTGTGTGGAGCTCTAGTATAACTCCGTCTGGATCATCGAGTCCGATGAGTGCACAGTTTCTATTTATAGATCAACCATCGACGCGTTTGAACTTGAGCATTTATGAGAAGGACAATGCTGTGATATTTATAGCTTACATTATTATCATGGACAGAGATAATTAAAACTGATCGTAGCATCTGGCCCCTAGGTTTCGAAGCTTATGTGCACGCATGTGACACTTACAAACGTGTAGTTCGAAATATTGACACTATCCCTCATACATAATATGTGAGGAAGCAGACTTGTATAGATCGGGTTAGACGCAGGAACACTAACTAATAATAACAAACAATCTCGCAGACGAGGCCGAAGGCTGCAAGTTTGTTCCGTATAATTATTAGTTACATGGTCCTGTGGGTTAGACTGCTTCTTCAGCAACCCCTGCTTGCCGTAAAAGGCGACTATGCTTGTCGTAAAAGGCGACTATATAACGGGATCCTGTGGTCAGGCTTGCTGACTTGTTTGATGCATGTCATCGATCCCAATTGCGTTGATCGACGCTCGTGATGTCAATCACTGGACTGTCTGGTCTAGACACGATTATTTACAGACTGCCGTCATATAGGTGGAATATTGCTGAGTGCGGCGTTAAACATCAAGCAAGTAAGGGAGCATCCATTTGATTTCTTTTGTGGGGGTGGAAAGATTTTTTGAATGAATAGGTTGTTCAGAAATATGCCCAAAATGAATAGTTTGTTGGCAGTTGTGAAGTAAATTAATAGTTTATTTTTGTGAAAATGTTTTAAGTATTTGTACATATAAGTTAAATATTTTAGATGTTTTATTTTAGCTTTAAACTTTACATACAGTATCCTACAAACACTAAAAATCTTTAGTGTTATACAAGCCCCCAATACAATAAGCCTATCCCTGCACCCTGCATTTAACAATAGCCACCTTACTGGGTCAGGCCATTTTCTGACCCATGCGTATGCACTCTGCACAAGTTTCTTTTGTCTGTCTGCTTTAGTTTCTCTGGTCAGCTTACTATCTATTGTGTATTTACTATTTAGTTTTAAAGGTTTTTGTCCGGCATATCCTGTTGGCAGTCATACACATTTATTCGAGGAGGTCACTTTGATTTATATGTGATAGTTTTCCTTAATATTGTGTGCATTCATGGAACTCGGTATTTGTGTATTGAGGATTTCATTATCCAGGTTAGTTTATTTGGTCTGTGTATTTCAGATACTGTATATATGGTCTTGTACATATTGTATGAGATGTTAGATAAATGCATCAGTGTACAATTAAACCAAGCTGGCAGTTAAAGTAAAGTAGGTATTTCAACTATCAGTACAGTTAAGTAAGGATAAGAATTTATGGATGAACAATTTCTGTATTACAATTAAGAGCGGCGTTTCGGGGTAGGTTCTAACACTTGCTTGATAACGGCGTTAGAACCTACACCGAAACGTCGCTCTTAATTGTAATAAAGAAGTTGTTCATCCATAAATTATTATCCTTACTTAGTAGTAGTACTCCAACTTCTAAATGCCTATCAAAGAAGTTATCAGTACAGTTGGTTGTATGTGGAATTTATTTCATTTCAATCTAAAATGTATCGTATTGCATCTATACAGTATGTTATCTACTTAGATACTGCATTACCAGTATACACTTTACTAAACTAAACAAGAAAACATTGATGCAGAGCATCAAAGTTCCCCGCCATATGTGATGCCTCACAAATGTGATGCCTGTTACTGAAAGGCATGATGGAGCTTAATTATATTAACCACAAATAACACAACGCTGTTGTGGAAAAAAATATTATTTATTTTGAGTATTGGGCAATACAGTTGATACATTTGCATAGGGTAGGTCTATTTAAAAATAGTTTCTTGTTTAACGCCGCACTCAGCATTATTCCAGCCATATGACGAAGGTCTGTAAATAATCCAGTCTGGACCAGATCATCCAGTGATTGACACCAAGAGCATCGAACTACGCAATTGGAATATGAAGTTATGCATCTACCAAATCGGCGAGCCTGACTACCCAATCCTGTTCGTCGCCTCTTACGGCAAGCATAGGTTGCTGAAGACCTATTCTTACCTGGGTCTTTATTTAAAAAGTAGATCGAAGGAAATGGAAGCAATTTCTGGCACAAATGTAAACATGTGGAAATAGTATCAAAACTGCCAACAACATTGGCAGATGCACATACTCAAAAAATAGATCACATTCTTTTTACACTTAGCATTTGGTTATAATAATGTAAATGAAAATACCAAGGGCTCCATATGGCAAAAAAAGTCATACTAGATAAGGTCTTTTTGTCACAACCACAGATGCACATACTCAAAATATTATCACGTAGTTGGAGAACATTTCAATACCGGGACTAATCAATAACGGAGATTCCTCGTCTCTTGTTTTAAGTTTTTTGTTCAGTTTTTGTGTGTATTTCTTTCTTTCAAAGACTAGTAATTGTGATCATGATGAGTTGAGTTACTTGGTTTTTTCTATATACTGTTTTTTATCCAGTGTCAGTAACTGTTGTGGAATGTGGTTTACTTGTAACAATGACTGGTTTGAGTTCATATGATGATGATTGATTGGTTTGTCGTTTAACGCCGCACTCAGCAATATCCCAGCTATATGACGGCGGTCTGTAAATAATCGAGTCTGGACCAGACAATCCATGCAGTGCCTAATATCATGAGCATCGATCCACGCAATTGGGATCGACGCCTCTTACGACAAGCATAGTAGCCTGATATATATATACTGTTAAGATGTAACATGACAATTCATCCATACTACTAAACAGAAGTAAAACCGCTTGTCCATTCGGATCAATCTGACCAAGACCATTCCGCTGATGACAGTCAAATAATGCATACGAATCGAAATCCGTAAAAATTGCAATGGAGACATCATTAAAAGTTACCAAAAGTGACGGGGATATCAATATTGCTTTTTGAAATGATTCTATGAAATTTGTTTTCCCTGCTTCAATATTTGGAGCACCTGTGACGGAGCCATAAAACTGATCTGTTATGTAGACAATATCGCTTGAGGCAGTGGCTGCTGGGGACTGATTATGACCTAAATACTCCTCATAGCCTTCGGTGTTAACTTTGTGGCTGTAGAGAGCTGTGCCTTCATCCAACAGATTATCGAGGTCAGTGGAACACGGTACAGACGCAAATAGATTTGAGCTATGGGACACAAAATATATGAATGACCAGAGCTACGGCTGTACATTGAATTCCATTAAACGGTTGAAAAATACTGCAGCCTTGATGCAAATTCGCTGACACAGTACTCCGATTTTGCTTTGATCATGACTTTGCTACCAAACGTTTCACATGTGGTTATGTGCGGTGCACTGATTAAAAAACACACATGGGGGACTGGGTTAATTCAAAATACGGAATATAACTATTCCAAATATTTCCAGTGAACATGAGCATCCAAACAATCAAAAGTGTGGTATGTAGAATATGGAATTCAGCCATATTACATTGAAATTGAGATGTCGTCGTTGTTCATGAATAAGCATATTCAGAACATAATTTTTATTATGCTGTTATTTACGATCTCCGGAGCACAGTTCTTCTTTTGTATACACCGTGAAAATCAGAAAATTAGTCCTTGAGGAAAAAAGGACATCGGATTACACATGAATGGTTTAATAATGTCAGCTAATGACCAGAAACGGTCAGATGCATCAATTAACTACATAAAGACGATTTTGAAGTATCTCTTATTGCTGGAAAAGAATAGCATCAACATTCGACGCACATGATTTGTATGTTTTGTTTCCGTAAATGCGTGGCTTGAAATTTCAAATAAACCAACATGTCGACATACATGCCACAAATTTAACGTTTCCCGTATACTTCCCCGCCTTAAGGGCGGGGAAGAATTATTATTTAAACATTTTCTAAAACCTATAACTGTCTGAATGCGGTATGGAATAAGAACGTATGTATGGGACATGTTGTTTTTATATCTTATTTTATATGGCCATTATTAGTATTGTCAAGGTTTTATTTCAACTTGTTATAGAATGATGTGACCTTCACCAACCTTGAACGTGACTGCGTGCCCAAGTGTTAAGCTCACACGGTGGTAAGTGGGGAACATAATTATATATATGGTTCAAAGTAATAACTAGTATCTCGCTATCCTTCTAAATTAATGTTTTGTGTGAATGTCATGTATTCACATAGTATTTACAAATGGCAATTTTATATAGTAATTCAGAAATAGTTAACAACCTGCTATTTATATTTAAGGATTTGGTTTGGTTTGGTTTGGTTTCTTGTTTAACGCCGCACTCAGCAATATTCCAGCTATATGACGGCGGTCTGTAAATAATCGAGTCTGGACCAGACAATCCAGTGATTAATAGCATGAGCATCGATCCACGCAATTGGGATCGATGACATGCATCACCCAAGTCAGCGAGCCTGACCACCCGATCCCGTTAGTCGCCTTTTACGACAAGCATAGTCACCTTTTACGGCAAGCATGGGTTGCTTGAAGACCCATTCTACCCCGGAATCGTCACGGGTCTTTAAGGATTTATTCATGCTAGTGCTAACTTATAAGATGAAGTCATGTAATTGTGTTTAATCTCCAGGCAATATTATGTTCTTCTACAAATATACTTATGATGTTTGTTTTATATTTTCAGGGTTTCCTATGATTATTATTATCTG